CCCCCTATAACACTGTTGATTATTCCGTTTTATATGAAATCCATGTTGTACGAGTCACTTAGATTTTACAAATATGTGTGTAGGGCTGTGAACGGCTCACGTCTTTGTAAAATCTAAGTGACTCGTACAACATGGATTTCATATAAAACGGAATAATCAACAGTGTTATAGGGGGTCGACTGTAATTATTTTGCACCATTTCCTTCAGCACTAATATGCCAGAAAGGAAAATATATATTTAAAAAAAAAAAACATTTAATTAATGTAAACATGATCTTTCTAATTTGTTTTTTTTATTATTATATTTTTAACAATATTTTCTGTTGAAAAAATTATATTTTTAATCATTTATTACACATTTTAAGTTGGAAAATAAAAATTATTTTGCATCACTTCCTGCAACACTAATTTGAAAAATAAAAAGGCCAAGAATTAAAAGGAAAAAAATATATTTAATATATAATAATTTAATACATTTTTTTAAAATCATTTCTTAATGAAAAATAATTATTTTGAACCGTTTCCTATATTTTAGATGTTAGAAAAAAAGTAATTTTAACTTAATTTCCTTTCAACACTTAGATTGAAAATAATGGTGACTAAACGAAGGGCCATTAAATAAACGAGGGCGAAACTATATTTTTAAGACTTTATTTCTTTTGTAGCTCTTTCAGGTTTAAAATAAATTTCCTTAGTAAAACTGTCTGGTGTGATTAAAACTGTTCAGTCACCTTGATCTTGAGAGTGCGTTGTCCCAGTTTAAAATACGATAGCAATATTTAAAATGGGTCAAGCGCAATGATTGGGTGATGTTCTCTTTATAAGTAAATGATTGTTGAATAACGATTGTATTATACGTACTGAACGGAGTAACAGATATAAGGTGGAACGAAAAATATACACACGCACTGAAAGGCCAACAGTGACGAGGTGAGTACGTTTACGAGCCGCAAAAATTCCCCATTGTCTTAACCCACAAATTTTCCATGTGTAATGGTACTTTTATAACTAATTGCATTCTTCTTTATTGATTTTATTACAGGTAGAATGAGGTCGTCCATATTGACCTTGTTGTTGCTATTCTTCTTATCTGCCGAAATTTGGGCGAAGCCAACGTGGCCGAAACATATTAAATATATTATTAAAGAAAAACCACGGTTGATAACCATCCCTCATCATGTACCGTGGCCTAAACCCGTGCCGATACCGAAACCGGTACCCATATTGAAGTCTCTACCTGTGGCCAAACCTGTGCCAGTGCCTCATATCGTACCGGTGATTAAACATATACACAAGTATGTTCCGGTTCCTAAAATTGTACCTATACCGAAACATGTACCGGTACCCAAGCCGTATCCAGTTCCGAAGATTGTACATGTCCCCAAGCCAGTAGTGGTGCCAGTACCGAAGCACGTTCCAGTACCCAAGCCTGTACCAGTGCCTGTATACGTTAAAGTACCCAAGCCATTCTTGGTACCCGTCCACAAGTATGTACCAGTACCAGTACCGAAACCGGTTCACGTACACGTCGAATTAATCCGAGAGAAACCGATCGTCATCAAAAAACCAGTGCCTATCATGTAAGTTTCCATTTTACTTTATCTCGATCAGTAATTTATCAATTTTACTTAACCTAATTAGATTTTCCGTTCATTTTTTTTTTATTTAATTGGCATATGTGTTACGTTAATAATTTGCGTCACAACCTCTTAATTATCATGTAAATCAGTAATTGAATCAATCCCCTTTAAACGTAAAGTAACAAGTCGATCGGTTAGAAAACACCATTAACTGATAGTTTAATTCTGATTAAGAATGTTAACAGTTGCTAATTATGTTACTGCATATTTAATTATGATTATTTTTACTAATTTACAGCCTTGAAGAGAAAAAATACCATCACCATCATCATGGTTGGCACGGATGGTAAACGATTAAAGGAATCAAAGGATCTCGTGTTCAATGTTCAACTGCTTACAATAAAATAACGCTCAAGGCAATAAAATATATTTTAAAAAAAATACTATTTAAGGATGTAACTATAGTAACAACACATATTTTTCCCTAAAAATCCTTAATAATTTAAGGTTTTTCGGTCTGGTAGGATCAAAGAATTTTTGGTGGCAAGAATTGATCTCGAACTGGCACCATATTTCCTTAATATTTGTAATGGTTTATTTACATTGACCCACATACCATAAATTTGGCAAAATTTATTTTATTTTTTCCTTATTTTTATAAATGATTTATTTGTCACAGTGTTTCTAATCTAAAATAAAAAAAAACAGGTTGTGTAACACAGGTTAGACCTGTCAAAGAAAACAAATCTCTGTATGAAAACATGGGATGCAGATGTAACTTAATATATTTTCTATGTATATATTTATATGCTGGTGTTGAGAAATGATACTGTTGATAACAATGAAGCTGAGCGTAACGGTTACTGGAATATAACTTCTGTACAGTTTTTTTTTGTTATGCTGTGTACATAGATTTTTATTTTGTTTTAAAGTTAATGATTTATAATAATAAATTTATATATTTTTTAATGCATTTACAAATTGTTTTAATTTACTTTTCAATAAATAACACAGTAAACGTTCTGAAAAAGATATATATATATATATTTAGTAACTGTAACTGTTAAGATACTGTAAATAAAACTGTTAACGAGGTCAAAGTTTTCATAATTGTATGAGAAAATTAATTTACAATCGAACCTTCAATAACGACCACCTCTAAACAGAAGACATTCTTTTAAATTTTAGCGAATTTTTGAAGTGATTTTACCCATCTTTTGGATGATTTTACTCGTCTTTTGGGTGATTTTACCCATATTTTGGGTGATTTTACCCGTGTTTTGGGTGATTTTACTCGTCTTTTGGGTGATTTTACCTGTCTTTTGGGTGATTTTACCCATATTTTGGGTGATTTTACCCATCTTTTTGGAAATTTTACTGACCACTTTTGAAGATTCTAACGGAATTTTTAGCGATATTGCTGAGATTTTAGCAAAGTAACCTCCAAACAACGGACACGCCCGAACAACGGCTATTTTTAATGTTACGTCGGTGGCCGTTGTTCACAGGTTTGACTATATTATAACCTTTTTTTGGTCTTGAGAAAAATGCCTTAAAATTTAATAACATTAAGCATAAATCTATTATTGTTTTTTGTAGGGCAGGTAATTAAGTTTTATGCCTTCCTGTATCGTTCTATAAATAGCGCATAAATGTTATAATTGTAATAATTAAATTTTTTATTTTCTATGAAACTGAAAGATCAATTTATCAACTTACATCAGGAATAATTTCATCACTGTGCAGTATATATAAATCATTTTGTGAAAAATTACTTTGATAAGACGAACTGAAAAGTTCTTCTCTGTTACTTTCTTCATTATAAGAATAACTTGTATTGTCTGAATTTTCATCAGCACTGTTTTGTTCATATTCAATACTATATCCACTTTCTGAACTAAATGTTGATGATTGACTACAATTTGACAAAGGACTTAACTGATCCTGTTCATTTATTTGAATGATTTGTTGCTGATGTTCAAAATTATATTCTTCACTTTCTAAAATAATAAAAAATAATAATCTGCTTCAAAGATTAATTTAAAAAAATAAACAAGATATTTTATTTCAGATAATATTTTATTTAAAAATTGCATTATTTTAAATGAGAATGATAAAATAAAAAATTCATTAAACTTTTCAAAAGAATTTATGCATTTATTTAGCAAAAAAAATGTTAAAAAATCAAATGGAAACACTTGAATAAAGTTACAATTATAAAGATGCACAAACTTAAGAATAATTAGAAATGAACATTCCTTGAGAATAGTAGTAATAAATCTTACTGTGAAAAACTTTAATATTCTGCTTTGACAAAATAATTAAAGATAAATTACATACTATACTTTGAAAAATCAGAAGTTCCAATAATTCTAAAGTAAATTTTAGAATTATAAGGAAAAATGGCAATTACAATAAATTTTTTAGGTTTCAATTATCCTTTTTCATAAACTAAGCTGATAAAGATTATTAAGAAGTGTTCTTATAATATCAACAGCTATCTTATCATTTACTTGCTATGCTGGTAATTTACCAATGTTAATCAAACAACATTTATTTGATAATTCTATAAATAAAAATAAAACTTTTTATGTTATCCTGATTTATATTCCAAAAAAGAGCAACTTATTGATATTGGAACAATGATCAATGAGACTGTGGCACCCTCACAACATGTGACCAGAGGCACAAGGTGGTATAAAAGAAGAAAACAATCTCATCAGCACTTTTTTCCTTACCCCTACGCTTGGTAATGAGACAACCAAAAGATTATAAATAAATAATTTGAAGCTAGATTCAAATTTGTATTTACATCCATTTAGAATTTAACTTTTATTAAAAATTCTTAAAGCAAACCTTCAGTTAAATCCTAGTCTAATTTAAAGTTCATTATGTAAAGCTGCATTCTAAAAATATAGTATATCTATAGAGTAGTTCAAAATATGCTGGGCAGCCATCATGTTGAAACTACGTTTGTTGCCTCATAGCTAAAGGAACCTCTCCAGTAAAGGGAAGAGGATTTTCTGGAGAAAGCAGAATATGTAAAGTTGGTTAGCACTTAATTCCAAATAAATATTATGTTGATGTAGGCTATTTAATAGACATAGTATAAATGATCAATAAACAATATTGAATATACCCAATGAATATTTTATTCAGTTTAACTCAAAATAAATGTGTGTTTTATCACATCTGTCATTTCAAAAATAGAATAATTTTAAAAAAGAAAATTATGAACTTACTTTTGTAGTTCTTTAATTGATAGCGTCGATATTTTGATTTTTCTTTAGATTTTATACATACAACTTTTGCTTTTAATCGATTCAACGCTGATCTAAATCTTCCTTTGGAACTTGTATAATAATTTCCTTCATCTTCATTTGTACGACCTTTAACCACATCCCATGCCTATGATGAAGAGAAAAATATAAATAAAATAATTATCAATTTTTAATTTGTACAAACAGAAGATTAATTTATTTTCAACAATATGTAGTTTAAATTTTTATTCAATAATTATGATATTGTACATAACATTAAAATTTATTGTTAATAAAAAAATTTTTAATAACTCTTTCCACAGAAAAAGTTTTATCTCCAAATGATTTGATAAAAAAATTTTAATACCAAAGAAATGTGCAACAAGTAATAGAAATTCTTATTTGAAAAGCTTGTAAATATACATTAGGAAAGTGATTATAGATAGTTTCAGCTTTAGAATTAACAAGATTATCTTCTAAATATTAAAATTAGTGATGCTTAGTAATAATTAGTGAATGCTAGAAAGTGAGAGGAAAGTCTGAAACCTTCCTCTCACTTTCCAGCATTCACTAATTAAAATAGAGTTTTCAGCTACCTTCAGTGGCTTATGTCAGGTTAAGGAGATTCTATATCAAACATCTTTATAGATGAAACTATTTTTCACCTTTTCTACCCTGTAGGCAATAAGAGGACCTCTTTTAGCAAGCCTGTTATGGGTTTTGGCCAGGCACATAAGGCAGCCAGGTGGTGAGGGATGGGGCCCAACATATCTGGACGGACCACTCCGCAAAAAATTCCTGGGGAATTTTTTGACCCAGTCTGGATTCAATCTCAGATCACCCAGAGTGACAGGCTGCCACCTTGACTGCTTGGCCATTTGGCTTAAATTTGGAAAATGCTAATGCAGTATTACTATAAAATATTCATGAATACAAAACATATTTCTTCAATGACTGTCAATTTGTTAAAACTAATAATATACAATATTTAAAAAGTTTGCATATTAATAAAAATTTGAATACTTTAATTAAATAAAAAACTTTTTACATATATCATTAAAGAAAGTNTTTATTTAAAATAATTTTTCAAAATGATCAATCAACAATGAAACATTAAATGTTTTTACATTAGAACAATACAAAAGTAAACATGTTCCACAAATGTGGTATTGCATACACATAATACACAAATATATAAAGAATGGGATATGAAAATGGTCAAGTGAATTTGCTTTCACATTCGTCGGGAAATGTTTTCATAGAATCATCATGGTTAAGCATGAATTCATTTCAATAACAGGAAAATAAGTATATATTAATATCATTTTTACTTCATATTTATTGTTTTTTCTTTGCTAAACTTATTTTCTCGACATTTGTAGAAATTACATGACCATTTTTATCCAATTCTTTATTGATTTAAAATAATAATTCAAAATCATCTTTAATATCAATTACTTTGATTATTTATGAAAATCTGAATTTTAAAACAATTGTAATATTTAAAATATACATAATAATCATTGTAGAATCAAATATATTCGAAACATTTCTTTAAAAACTTGTTTACATGAAAAAATCTTATTCATTAGTTTCTTATAAAAATGATATTTAACAATATTATGATGTTCTAATTCTGTATTTTAGAATATTATTCCATTATAAGTAATTAATAATTTAAGATTGAAATGTTGAAAATAAAATTTTATATTTTTTTCAACCTTCAGCAAAATATTTGTCAATGAATAAATCTGAATATAATTTAATATTTGTATGATGTTCTCTTCAATTATTCAAAATAATAATGCCCTTTCATATCACAGTTTACCAGAAATTAGAACTTTTCATTTGAATAACAAGAGACACTTCATTCAAATATCTTTATATTCGGATATAATTTCAAATACTTGCAGAAGATTTCAACATTCAATTTTAGATTATCAATTTTTATAGGAATATTACATTAAACATTATATATTTTACAGTAATTTTAATCCAGTTTACTTTGTTAATGAACAAATTATATAAAATAATTTGAAAAATATTATGCAAAAAATAACATAATTGAAATTTTTCCAGATTATTTTTTCTAATTAATAAAATTTAGCACTGGAAAAAATAAAACGTAATATATAGTTAATCTTTAACTATATTTTATTGAAAAACAAACCTTGATTATTTGTTTCTAATTAAAAACAATTTATCATCTTGACATAAAAAATATTTTTTTTTGCCATTTATTGAACTAAATATTAAAAATATAAAACTCACTTTATACATCAAATAGTTTTATTATCTATAATGTTTTTAAAGTAATATTTTAATCTCAAAGAACAAAAGATTTCAATTTTAGAAACTTTTCTTTTCTATTCTTAATTCTTATGTATACTTTAATTTGAAAAACCAATGAAATCAATTATATTTTGAATTCTAACTTTAATTTTGAACAGCATGAAAAAATGGTCCAACATTTAAGAAAAAAATATTACTTTCTTTAATTTATTTTTTATTATTGTTCATTAAAAAATTATAAATTTATTTCAACCCTTTTGATTCCATTTTTATTAAAGTTTACCTTTAAGCTTCAAATTTTGAAAATTACATAATTTATCTATTCAAGTAATTTTATAAAGTATTCGTTGATTGTTTTAAAACTATTTTCTAGAATTTATTTAATGACTTTTATTTAAAGTCATTCTTTTCAAAAAGAAACTAAAAATTTAAAAACATCACAGACAATAAAAATTGTTGACATCCTATAAAAGAATACTATGTTAAAAGAAAATTTCTCTGGAAAAATTTCCATATATAAAATAAATTTACATTATATTTGTTCAATCAGACAGTTGTTACTAAACCTCAAAGAATAATCTGTACACATGTTGAATTAAAAACTTTCACAACCATTTTCAATTATTGTAATTCCATAATATTTATGGTTTCAAACTCTTGGCTCATTATATCTGTTAAAAATACATAAATTTCATTGTAATAATAATTTTAATATAATTGTAACATTAAAACTATTTTTATAAAAACTTCTCTACAGAATGACAAAATTGATATAAAAATATTTTTAAAAAAGTAAAATGAGATAATGGAAATTAAATTAATTACTCTATGTTCCAGTTTTTAAGCCTTAATAATACTTTTGCTGTTGTCAAAATTTTAATATAAACAAAGAATAAAATAAAAGTGGTAATTACTGAAAATACTAATCAAAACATACATTAATTTATCCAAATTATTTACCTAATACAGTAGTGTCCCGCTAGTCCAAACTAATTGGGACCGAGCCCTGTTTGGATTAGCAACTTTTGAATTAGCTGAATAATTGAAAAAATGCAGAAGCAAGCAGTAAAACAGGTCTGGCTTATATAGATCCAACACCATCAATGACATAAGCACCCCACTCTTTATTTCATCTGACTTGTACTCAATAGAGGGTGTAAACAGTTAACAAAAACACGTATTGTAACGTATTGCTTTAAGAACATCATCCCAGCGCTTCACCCGCAGACTGCATGTTTGACTTTTGTTGACATGTTTGAAACATAGCATCTTCTAACCACCTTTCATCGTTACGTCAAAAGAAACTAAGAGGCTTTGTTATTTCTGAAAAATGACTTTTGTTCCTGTTTTTGTGTGTAAGTACTGTATAGATCTGCCATTTTAATAGGCCATGTCAAACACTGATTTATTAATTTTGTACAGTATTAACACAGTACTACAATAAAATACAATTTTTTGTGGAATTTTAAATGTTTTTGTACTATTAACTGGAAAATACAAAAAACATATATTTTGCAAGCTAAAAAACTTTTTCTCCGCTGACCAAAATGTGTTTGGATTAATGGTGTTAAGACTAGCGGGACTCTACTGTATTAAAAACACAAATGTAGACTATCCAAATGGCATCTTTTTCACACTAGAAACTAATCTAAAACATGCTGAGATTCAAGCTTTTATCTGAAGCTATGCCTTAGTAAATTATGTAAAAGACAAAATATCCATTGGTGATTGGATATTATTATGAATAAATACATACATTTTATATTTTGTCTTTTACATAATTTGCTGAGGTCTTAGCCTCAAATAAAAGGTCAGACTTCAGAGTATTTTGGATTAATTCCTGGTGTATAAAAAAGACAAGTGAAGATGCCATATGGATAGTCTACATTCATGTTTTTAATGAGAATTAGTGTCCTGAATGTACAATTCAGGACACTAAAGCTCAAGTACCTGAATACAGTCAAATCCTATTATTATGTTATTGGTTTATGCAAAGTCTGTATTAATGCAAATTAGATTTGTGGACCCTCAGACAAGGGAGGATAGGCATTTTAATATTAATGAATTCAGTTAATACTAAGTGCCAATTAAGGTTTAAGGTTTTAATAAAGTCTCTTTGACTGTATTAATAGGGTTTGACTAAATTTACCTAATAGTTATTATAAGAATTACTTAACAAATTAATGAGAATTAACTAATTTGACATTAAAAACTATTCTGAATACAGAATTTAGAAATAACATTATTTAAATGTAAATATAAATGCAGAAAATTCTCTTATATTTTCTAAAAATTTGTATTTATTACACATGTACTAGTTCATATATTAATGTAAATGAACAGATTTTTAACATTTTTATTGTTTATTTCAACAATTAGACTTTTTTAAAACATAAAGTTAAAATGGGAGCACTTGAAACTAATAAACTCCACCATACCTTTAAAATGCAGTCTATTTTAAACAGTTATCGAACGTTTAAATCGCATTTTAAAGGTATGGTGGAGTTTATTAATTAATATGCAGTTAGAGATATAATACTTGAAACTAACAACTGATTTTTAGGCTGCTCTGCAATTCTTAAAAATGTCCATACAATTAAAAAGTTCTTTATGCAATATCCAAAAATGTCATTTTACTTCCTATCCACAATGAGAATACTAATCCAATATTAAGTTCCTTGTTTAAAATATGAAACATAATAGCATATTTATGTTAATAATAGCATAATGTAAGGAATATTTATTCTACAGGGTGTCTGTAATTTATTCACCTGATTAAGAAACTCAATAGAGAAAAAAGTATAAGAAATACCTAAAAACAGTTAACTATAAATTGATTTTTTAACTCATAAAGTTGTAACTCCCACTTGGCATAGTATCTCCTTGAGTAGAAATTCCTGAAATTCTTGATGGATCTGTTGGATTGGTCAAGATAGACCAATTGCATGGTCATCAAGTTTCTCTGATTTCCATCTTGATTTCTTTCTGAGAAGCTCATAAAGCACAAAGTATATACAAAAGAAGACAATTAGCATGGAAAAATTATAGATAGAATTGTCCAGAGGTGTTAATAAATATCTGGATACAAATGGAGTAAAGACTTCTTATTCCAAGTGCAACAAAGGAAACACATATGGAAGTTTACTAATAAGCCATCATGATCTCAAAGGTTTTGAAAAAAGTTTTTGAATTAACAATGTGTAGTTAACTATTTTCAGATATCTGTTATAGTTTTTCTCTACTGTATTGAGTTTCTTTTTAATCAGATGAATAAATTGTGGACATCCTCTATAAGATAAATGGGACTTTTTTCTATTTAACCTGCATATATTGTATGATTGTATTTGTACTACAAAATACATGTATAAATTTAGAATTATATTGAAATTTAAATTCTTATGAAAGTTTCCCAATTGTGAATTCAATCCAAATGCTTTTCTCAATTATAAAATAAAAACAAACAGGAAACAGATTTGTATAAGTAATTTCCAAAGTTTTATTTTTTGAACTTCATTTATTTACTGAGAAATTTTTTTAGGATATTCTTAATATCATTTAAATCTAAAGCAAATATGTTTAAACATAGTATATGAATAACTGAATATATAATAGCAAAATTTTTTGCCAACTATGACAAAGAAAGATGACTTTTGTAATATTTATGTAGCATACACATTTTTTTATTTTTATAATTTGGCTTCATTGTTCAATTGAAGTGTATATGTATGAATTTTATGAAATACATTATTTTCTATTATATTTTACAAGTTATCAAATAAATTTATATGAAATTATTGTAAGATGATAAACATAAATAATATTACCTTGCATTAATACTTCATTATTAACATCATTTTCAAAGAACTGGTTAAACTCCTAAAATGAATAAATAAATGTTATAATTGTAATAATTAAATTTTTTATTTTCTATGAAACTGAAAGATCAATTTATCAACTTACATCAGGAATAATTTCATCACTGTGCAGTATATATAAATCATTTTGTGAAAAATTACTTTGATAAGACGAACTGAAAAGTTCTTCTCTGTTACTTTCTTCATTATAAGAATAACTTGTATTGTCTGAATTTTCATCAGCACTGTTTTGTTCATATTCAATACTATATCCACTTTCTGAACTAAATGTTGATGATTGACTACAATTTGACAAAGGACTTAACTGATCCTGTTCATTTATTTGAATGATTTGTTGCTGATGTTCAAAATTATATTCTTCACTTTCTAAAATAATAAAAAATAATAATCTGCTTCAAAGATTAATTTAAAAAAATAAACAAGATATTTTATTTCAGATAATATTTTATTTAAAAATTGCATTATTTTAAATGAGAATGATAAAATAAAAAATTCATTAAACTTTTCAAAAGAATTTATGCATTTATTTAGCAAAAAAAATGTTAAAAAATCAAATGGAAACACTTGAATAAAGTTACAATTATAAAGATGCACAAACTTAAGAATAATTAGAAATGAACATTCCTTGAGAATAGTAGTAATAAATCTTACTGTGAAAAACTTTAATATTCTGCTTTGACAAAATAATTAAAGATAAATTACATACTATACTTTGAAAAATCAGAAGTTCCAATAATTCTAAAGTAAATTTTGGAATTATAAGGAAAAATGGCATTTACAATAAATTTTTTAGGTTTCAATTATCCTTTTTCATAAACTAAGCTGATAAAGATTATTAAGAAGTGTTCTTATAATATCAACAGCTATCTTATCATTTACTTGCTATGCTGGTAATTTACCAATGTTAATCAAACAACATTTATTTGATAATTCTATAAATAAAAATAAAACTTTTTATGTTATCCTGATTTATATTCCAAAAAAGAGCAACTTATTGATATTGGAACAATGATCAATGAGACTGTGGCACCCTCACAACATGTGACCAGAGGCACAAGGTGGTATAAAAGAAGAAAACAATCTCATCAGCACTTTTTTCCTTACCCCTACGCTTGGTAATGAGACAACCAAAAGATTATAAATAAATAATTTGAAGCTAGATTCAAATTTGTATTTACATCCATTTAGAATTTAACTTTTATTAAAAATTCTTAAAGCAAACCTTCAGTTAAATCCTAGTCTAATTTAAAGTTCATTATGTAAAGCTGCATTCTAAAAATATAGTATATCTATAGAGTAGTTCAAAATATGCTGGGCAGCCATCATGTTGAAACTACGTTTGTTGCCTCATAGCTAAAGGAACCTCTCCAGTAAAGGGAAGAGGATTTTCTGGAGAAAGCAGAATATGTAAAGTTGGTTAGCACTTAATTCCAAATAAATATTATGTTGATGTAGGCTATTTAATAGACATAGTATAAATGATCAATAAACAATATTGAATATACCCAATGAATATTTTATTCAGTTTAACTCAAAATAAATGTGTGTTTTATCACATCTGTCATTTCAAAAATAGAATAATTTTAAAAAAGAAAATTATGAACTTACTTTTGTAGTTCTTTAATTGATAGCGTCGATATTTTGATTTTTCTTTAGATTTTATACATACAACTTTTGCTTTTAATCGATTCAACGCTGATCTAAATCTTCCTTTGGAACTTGTATAATAATTTCCTTCATCTTCATTTGTACGACCTTTAACCACATCCCATGCCTATGATGAAGAGAAAAATATAAATAAAATAATTATCAATTTTTAATTTGTACAAACAGAAGATTAATTTATTTTCAACAATATGTAGTTTAAATTTTTATTCAATAATTATGATATTGTACATAACATTAAAATTTATTGTTAATAAAAAAATTTTTAATAACTCTTTCCACAGAAAAAGTTTTATCTCCAAATGATTTGATAAAAAAATTTTAATACCAAAGAAATGTGCAACAAGTAATAGAAATTCTTATTTGAAAAGCTTGTAAATATACATTAGGAAAGTGATTATAGATAGTTTCAGCTTTAGAATTAACAAGATTATCTTCTAAATATTAAAATTAGTGATGCTTAGTAATAATTAGTGAATGCTAGAAAGTGAGAGGAAAGTCTGAAACCTTCCTCTCACTTTCCAGCATTCACTAATTAAAATAGAGTTTTCAGCTACCTTCAGTGGCTTATGTCAGGTTAAGGAGATTCTATATCAAACATCTTTATAGATGAAACTATTTTTCACCTTTTCTACCCTGTAGGCAATAAGAGGACCTCTTTTAGCAAGCCTGTTATGGGTTTTGGCCAGGCACATAAGGCAGCCAGGTGGTGAGGGATGGGGCCCAACATATCTGGACGGACCACTCCGCAAAAAATTCCTGGGGAATTTTTTGACCCAGTCTGGATTCAATCTCAGATCACCCAGAGTGACAGGCTGCCACCTTGACTGCTTGGCCATTTGGCTTAAATTTGGAAAATGCTAATGCAGTATTACTATAAAATATTCATGAATACAAAACATATTTCTTCAATGACTGTCAATTTGTTAAAACTAATAATATACAATATTTAAAAAGTTTGCATATTAATAAAAATTTGAATACTTTAATTAAATAAAAAACTTTTTACATATATCATTAAAGAAAGTAAATTTCTATTACAAAATATATTAAATATTAAATAATCAAAAGCAAATTGATGAAGATCATCACATTCCACATTTTTTATGTATTAAATGATTTAATAGAAATTAGTTATCATTATCATACTAGTTTAATTTCTCATAAAGAAATGTATATTAATTAAGTATGTTTTTTATTTTAAAATTTGGACAAACATTCAAAATAACTTTACCATGTTAATAAAATCATAAAATATTTCTGCCAAAATATATTTTTATATAAATTATATATAAAGAGGTGAGTGCTTTTAATCATTTTCCATAAATTTTTGAAATTTTCTACCTGAAAAATATTATTTAGCAATATCACATCTGTTAAGTTCTTAAATTTTTAAGTTTAAAGCATTATTTTTGAAAACATGGTTCAAATATGAATAAAATTATAGTAACAAACAAACTTTGATCCAGCAAAACAGTAAAATTAAGAATTAATAATATAGCTGAAATATTGGTTGATTTTTAACTTTAATATTTTGCTGGATGAAACTTATTACCATATTACAGCCATTAGGTTTTTATATCTTATGCATTTATAACTAAAGAAATCATTGTAGAACTGGAGAAATACCAAGAAAATTAAAACTCAATATGTTTTTAATAACAAAAACGTTTTTGACTTAATTTGATAGGTCTTCCTCAGTTGTCAAATACATAATGGTTATCGAACCAACAAAATTTGAACAAAAAAAGAACATAAAAGCAAAACATTACAAAAAAATCAAAAGTAAAAATAATCAACAATAAACATCATTAAATTAATAAATTGTAGTTGTGCTACATTAAAAATTTATTCAAGTTAAACTTCATAAAATGACTTCCATTGCCAGTGTTAAAGTTTCTCAAAAGGATGTTTTTATAATTAACCGTTATCACAGCTATGGAGGTGTCGGGCCCGGGAAAAATTTTAAATGGGCTGCAATTAAATAAATTATTTAAAAATTTGAATTTTTTATGGATATATTACTTTTCACAAAATAAACAATACTTATTGTTAGCATTATATACTAGCATGACAAAATATCTTTTATGAGAAAGTAGAGAGTGAAGAATTGAGAAGAGCTTCAAGTCAAGCTTACAGTGTTGTTTCTACAGCCCTTGATAAAACCATTCTTATTCCATGTTAACAAACAAACTGACTTGAGCAAGTTATGGCAATGCAACACTTGGGCGATCTGCCTAGGGAAATGCATTCCGGGCAGTCTTTTTAAGAGAAACTGGCCCCTATTTGGGTGTTAAAGATGAGGAGAAAACCCAGAAAACTCCACGTGGCCAGCCCTTCCAAGCAAGGCACAAACCCACAACCGACTCCCAATGTTCAGGGTACAAAGACCGCTTAGCCACTGGTGGGCATGCTCAAGTCCGACCTCACAGCTTACGGAGGTCTCGGTTGTTCTTATTCTTTTTCATCCAGAATTTATCTGACCGATTTTGCTCTCACGCTTTTCCCTAGGTATTTTTTTCTTTTTTTAGACAAAATAGCGAGTCATTTTAATTAGCGAGTAAAAAAAAGCAAATTGTGGGATGATATCCGGACATCCTGTGAATCCCGGGCTCGGGTAATTTTACCCCATCGTCGGCTCTGGGGTCCGGGAACCCCTCCAGCCTTTTTTTTTTTTCTTGGAACAAATGAAATACATAATGCTTCTTTATTTGTTAGTAAAAATAACATTAATTTATAAGTATAGATGTAAGTTTACACGTGGCCCGGGAAGAAAACCACAGCACGCTCCCTCCTCTAAACGATGCAGCTCATTATATGTAAATAACGGTTAAAAGGTATCATTGGATAAAAATGTATAACTTTTATCAAAACTTCAAATTATAAGTGTGTAAGTAAAACTAAAATTATATAATAGACATATTTAATATTTTAATTAAACTAATGAAATTCTTACCTTAAAAACTTCGAATTTGCGTTTATTCCATTTGCTGGCGCTCTTATGCGTCCATCTCAATCGAAAAATGCCACTTTCTTCGTTTTCCCAATGAAGTAATTTACCAAAAGTCTTCCTTTTTAAGGAAGGAATAATAAAATGTTCTATTATACAAACTCGATTAACCATCTTTTCCTAATAAGATTTTTCGACAAACAAGTTCTCTAATGATCCCGATTAATTTTACTTCGTCTGAATATGGTTAAAATAATTAAACGGATGGAATTTATTCTTTAAACAGTCCGTCCACCTTACGCTCTCGTCCCACGAGTGGTACAGAAGTAAACAAACCGTCCGCTTTTATATGAGAACAGCTGGGAAAATCCCATAACGCAAGTGCAGTAGCTTACTTAATGACGTAATCTCGATATCCTGTGCTGTGATTGGGCATATAAAAACCGGGAGTCCCCTCTTGTCCGATCACATGTGACAACAGAAAATTTCTTAAATCATTATTATTTGAATATAATTTTACAGTAAATTGTTACAAATAAAAAATAATAAAATGAATTTATTCGGTTAAAAGCATCTATTCAATTTATAATACTAGTAAAATTTAAATAATATATAAGGATATTAAATACTTTGTATTGAATTTAAAAAAAATAATAATATACAGTAGAACCTCGATTATCCGGACTAATTGGGGATGAAGGTAGTCCGGATAAGGAAAAATCCGGATAATCGAAACAAATACTTTAATTTGTCTATTAATGATAATACAACACGTTTTCTTTTCGATGACATATCGGTAATATTAACAATAAATACTTTATTTAAATCGTGATCAAATTTTCAAGAAACAAACGTTCGTATTGAATTTGGTCTATTACTGACCAGCGCTAACAGACTAGCTATTGTTTAAAAGGCCTTCTGGTGGCTCAAGAAGACGGATTTTATAAAATAAAAAGCAGTTGAAACTGCATTTTTATGAATAAAAATTTGACAAACTATTTATCGTTTTATGACGAGTAAAATGTTTTCGTCGCGTTCTCGGCTTTTAAGTAATGCATAAACCTTCGAGGTGCGAGGCCCTTCGGACCGCGAGGCATAGGCGGTGGCTCACGTTGCCCATGCCTTACGCCGCCCTTGGTCATAGAAATGATGTGATTTGAATATAAATTATTTATAAATACGTATGTCAAGTTATATTTTTATTACAACCCAAAATATATTTAAGNTTTAAATATATACTGGAAGATGATTGTGAATTATAGTCTACTTTAATGATGAATAAGTCTAGTTTTTAGACTTATATTTAAGTATGAGTTGATAATTTATAAGTTTATATCGAAGTTACATATAGTTTACATACAGTATAGCATACTGGTTATATAACTGGTAAAAATAACATTAATTTATAGGGATAGGAGGTTTTCTCTGGACTACTAGACTAGGATAAAAATGTTTAACTACTCCTTTCGACAGCCATGCACGATATTATATAAGTACACTGTATATATAGGTCTAAATATTAAAAAAAAATTTCTATGTATTGTTTATAGATCAGCTATAGAGACTTATAAAGACATATGAGTAGATAACACTTATATAAAGGATATAGGCTACTTAAATAACAGTAAACAACATATAAATTATGTCATATTGATTATATTATTTAATTAAGATATGCAAAATTCAAGACGATAACATTTTAAACTTAAAACATGACTTCGATTCATATGACACAGAGGAGACATATCTCTCCCAATATTTTTGTACCAGTACATTGTTCCCCTCCCAATGTATTTTTATTTTATATTATACTATAAAAATTAAAAGTAGAAATGAATACTGTAAATAACAAATAGTCAACATCTTATTTTATATATCCCCTCAAAACCCTATGATGAGAAATCTATCTTTTTCATTGTGTTGACCAGTTCCTATATTTGTAAAATTCATTTTAATTTCTCGGCTGTTATATATAACAGGAAAAGTATGGCGACCGGACAAAAAGTAACCCCCTACGATTTTTGCATGTTTTGAATTCGGAGAACCTTCAAACGTCGAGAAATGAAAACAATTCGGGGGTTTTTTCTGTATGTTTGTATGTGTGGAGCACGATTTTGTTCATCCTGTTTGAAGCTTGATAACTCCTGTGTTTTTGTCGAAAATTTCTGAAATTTTGCAGGAAGGTTTGTATATTAAAGTGATTAATACTATTAAATTTTGGTGGTTAAAGGTCGAGGGGGTCGTGTGCCGTATCTATAGTAGGCTCGGACTTAATGACGCTTTTACTCGTTAATAGCATTTACAATTTTTTATAAAACTCATTCCTATCCTCCAAACTAAACGTTTTGCCATTTTATAATAATTAAAAATATAAAACAATTTTTAAAATAAAATATCATAACAGATGGCGCCATACGCAATTTTAAATGTACAGTGGAACCCCGGTTAATGAACGCCCTTGTTAACGAACTTTTATTTTGCAAACATTTTGTCTCGGATAACGAACTTAACGGATTTTTGTGTCAAATTTGTAAGCTTGCCGACTTTTAGGGAAATCAGTTAATCGCGCGTCGATGATGGTCTAGGGTCAATTCGTACATTGGTGGTGGCGGAGAAGACGAAGATGACAAGTATTTTACAGTGAAAATCGTTTATTAGAACGGGAAGATGCTTACATATTTGAGGTAGTTGGAAATGGTTTATCTACAGTATTTTTTCCCGGCACTGACGAGCTGCCTATCGCTGGTCCTACGATAGTGCAAGCTGATCAGTCGTTGCCCCGGAGCGGACGACATGTGTTCGCTTGGTCACAGAAGCGATGGTAGGTGGTGGAGCTGCGGCGNAAATTTTCCACTTGTCAGTTTTTCGACTGTCCTTCAGAAATATTGACAATTCAAACAATACTTTAACTTACAAAGAAAGATAAATCATAATGTCTCAATGCTTTTCAGAGAGAAAAAAGAATATTAGCAATACTTTGCTAATGATTATGGAAGTAATAAAAATATAGACCACATTTTTTAAGAAAAGTCATTTCTATTTCATGCAGTCGAATTATAAAACAACTACCTTTTAATTTGTACCAAGACATAACTATTTTTGATCATGATTACTTCTCACTTTTCATATTCATTGTTATTTTACAATTAAAAATATGTGTATTTTGGGGGAATCATATTTATAAAGTATTTTTCAAATAATATAATTTTAAAAAATACTATAATGTAATTAAATAATAAAGTAGGTGTGCCCATTGTGTCTTAATCAATGTCTTAATCTTAAATATTCAATTAAAAAATTTAAATTTAAATTTTTTAATTGAATATTTGTCCATTTGATTTTGAATTTCACATTGTCATATGTCAATTCCTAGCTCATTTGCAATACCTTGGTGAAGAATTGGACTGACTTGTGAGTTTGCTAACAGGAAAATGATTAAATGCTGCTTCTTTTTGACAGCTTTCATCTTGTAATTCTATTTCAAACGTGCGCGATGATTTAAAAAAAACCAAAGAAATGAAAATGTAAAGAAAACAAGCAGATAATAGTATATAATATTTTAACAACTGAAATAAGCAAGAATTGTTTTAAAAATGACAAAATTTTACTTTAAAACCCCTTCCGCCATTAATTAAGAATTAAATAGAATGTAATTATGGCTCTAAACATTTACTACTCGAAATCAATGGGTAGGGGTTTCTAGGGTTGTTTAAATATACAGTATTACTAAATATAAATCAGCAAAGTTAATTTACATTGCTGACTTACATTGCTGACTAATCTAGACTGAATGTTTAGTGTTGAATATCTTTTATTATTTCAAAGATCAATATTAAACAATATAAAAATGTCACAAACACTTGCATGTTGAAGTAATAAATAAATTATAATTTTATTGAAATCCATTCTGAATTTTTTCTTTAATTCTGTGACTTCAAACAAAACTAATATTTAATTTTTAAAATTTTAACTTGTAGTTTTCTTATTTTGGAAATGAGAAATTTCAGATCTTATTAAATTAATTTTAAAAATCATCGAAATTTGTTTTAACTAACGTTAACTACACTATAAGTATTTTACTGTGTCTGATTCCTATTAGCAACATTTATGTCAAACTATTCGTTTTCAATAGTCTTTCTATTGTCGCTTTATATTTCAAATATAGCTAATTGCATATTTTATTTGATTAATATATTTAATGATTAGCATTTTCTGTAAACCATAATAATAAATTCTATTTCAAACTCTAGAAGAGATATACGTCTTTCAGTAGCTAGTCAGTTGCACGATGAACTTTATTGCTCAACTATTTGCAATCATCCACTTTGGTCAACAATACGCAATCGTTTTCCCGTTGACTTATTAATCTTTAGCAGAGATGAAAGAAATTTTACTTAATAAGATCAAAAATTACAAATTTACCTGATGTACTAATAAACACACATCTCGCTCAATCATTTACACTCAAATATCTGATAGCTAGTCTCTATAATCAACAGAATACAATTGGCAAGAGGAGGCTGAGGATCGTCCCCTCGGATTTCACCGAGTTTGATATAATGTAATACAGTAGAACCTCGAAAACTCGGCTCTCGATAACCCACAACTCCGGATAACTCGGCCACACCCTGGCAGGGCAAAAAAATCCTTAGTTAATTAATTTTCATTATAGACTGCTTTATAAAAGTATAAAAGCTGTCATAAAGTATATTTCTGAGGTCTGTCTTATCAGGTAAATTACTGTACACAGTGTATTCATTAATTTTCATTTTCATGTAGTAAAGGCTCTATGCCTTCATAAAGGACGTACTTTTCCTTTGTTTAAGGGTATTTGGGCAGTTTATTCTCTGTTGTATTCTC